CTTTTAAAACAAGAAATAAGACAAGGAGATAAACTAGCATCATTCCTAATAACTTTGTGTTGGAGTTCTAACCATTGCAGAATATCAAAAACAATGAAAACAACAACAAAACACAAAGAAAGGAGACTTAGAAAGGAAAAAATAAAATTGTCGTTTATAAATTCCATAATTGTCTACATGGGCAACTCAAAGAGTTTGCCACAAATAATAAGAAATTTAAAAATTTTGCAAGATTGTTAGATATAAAATCAACAGGCAAAAGTCAATTGCATTTCTATCAATACAAAACAGATACAAAATCTAATTTTAGGGGATACAATAACACAAAATTTAAATACCTAGAAATAAATCTGACAAAAGTATTTTTCAAACTCAATGTAGAACACTATAAAAATTTACTGAAATACATGTAAAAACACTTAAGTAAATGGAGAAACGTCATACAAACAGAAAAGTTCCATCTTAAAGATGTCAGTTTTCCCCAAACTCAATAAATTCGAGAAAAATTCAAACAACCTTTTAAACTAATCTTTATGATAAAATAATTCTTTTTATTCCCTTTGACCTATTTCTACAAGAGCCAAGCTACTTCTAAAGAACAATGTAGAGTCTTGTCCCAAATGAGATATGTCTTGTCCCAGATATCAATAGGTATCATAAGCTATAAGAATTAAAACAATACACAACGTGCAGAGAGATGGACAAATTAACCAATGGAACAGGAAAGAGAGCCCCAAAGAGATATTTGGCAAAGCTGGCATTGCAGATGAACGGAGAAAATGAGTTCCCGATATAAACAGAGCTTGAATAATCCATATAGAGAAAAATGAAGAAGAACTGAATCCCTTCCCTACCCAATATGTGCGTACATTTACACAGATGTGTGCACACAATTAGTTATGTTACAGACATAAATGTGAAAGGTAAACCTCTGAAAGTTGCTGAAGAAAAATACTGATAAATTTGATTATATTTAACTTCAAAATATTTATCAAAAACCTACCACTGACCTATACATAAACAAAAATGGCCAATAATATGAAAATATACTAAATTTCAATGGTAATCATGAAAAAAACTGCAATGAGATGCAATTTTATACCTGACAGATTGATAAAAATGTAAAAGTTGAATAAGATCATGTGTTGGCAAGGAGGATGTAGAATAATGGAAACTGTGTTAGTTGAACTGTAAACTGCTTCAATCAGGTTGGCTAACATTTTCATTTTATCTAGCAGCTGTGTATACATTCTACAATGAAGCATTCCATTTCTACTAGAGAAACTTTTGCACCACAAGATATGTACAAAAATATTTGTATTATCACTGTTTGTATTACCAAACCCTGGAAACAATCCAAGGAATCAGTAGATTTTTAAAAAGATGGTGTATTTATACAAGGGAATATTATACAACAGGAAAAATAAATGAACTGAAAAACATTTTGAGTAAAGTAAGTCACAGACAAATATACCTTTTTGTTTTTATAAAGCTTAAAGACAAGGAGAACTAAATGAGATACATTAAGTTACAAAGAAATTGAGAATTATAAATAGTAAATAAATATATATCTCTTTTCATACATCAGGGCCAGATGTTTCAATGCTATTTATTTATTTATTTTTTAATATTACTTTTTAGAGATAGGGTCTTGCTATGTTGCCCAGTCTGGTCTTGAACTTTTGGATTCAAGCTACCTTCTGCCACAGGTTCCCAAATAGCTGGGATTACAGACCAAGCCACTGCACTTGGCTCAATGTTTTTAAAATCAAATCATTCCAGACAATAGAAAAAGACAGGAAGCTCCAATTTAATTGTAGAAAGCCAGGAAAATATTAATCTGAATATCTGATTAAAAAATAGTACAACAAAGGAAAATATAGAATGATCTCACTTAAGACTATAACTGCAAAAATTCTGGATACAATTTTAAGAAACAATATTTCAGAAGAAAAAAATTACATTATAACCAAGTAGGATTATTCTAGGAGAATACAGAGATGGTTTCAATATTAAGAAACCTGTCAACATAATTCATCATGCCAGCAAATTGGTGGGGGAAAAACAGGGATTATATAAATAGATGATTAAAAGGCATTTGAAAAAATTGAGCAGTCATCCCAATTTAAAACTCTCTATAACATCTGATGAGAAGATGTTTTAGTCAGCAGAAGCTAACTTGTCTTAAAAAGAGCCCCAAAACTCATTGACTTGACACAATAAGTTATTTTTCCTCATGTCATAATCCAGTTTGGGACAACAATGGAGCTCTCCTACCCACAGTCATTAAAATACCTGGGCTCTTTCCATCAGTAGCTCTTCCATCTTCTAGAACGATGTCCTAGAAGATGTCCCAGGTCCACTGCATAGGACTGGTAGAGAAAGGAAGGAAGGGTGGAGAATAATGTGGGAGGCCCAGGGTTAGGACTGGAAGTGTGATCTCTCTTTTCCACCCAAGCTTTTCTGATCAAAATTCAGTTAGGTTGGGTCTACATAACCATAAGCTGAAATGGAAAATGTAGTTGATCTGTGTTCTGAGGAGGAAAGGAAAATGTATGGATGAGCATCTAGCCAGTCTCTGCTACAGAAAATTACCACCTAAAATATTAAAGACCTTACCAAAAAACTAGTAACAGATATTATCCCAAAGAGTCAAACACTAAATATACCTCCACTGAAATCAGGAAAAAGACTGGGATATTCACCATCACCATTATTTATTCAATATTATTTTGGAGGCTGTAGCAGGCACAGTAAGATAAGGAAAGAAAATAATATAAATTTAGGAAAGAAGAGATTAAATTATCTTTTTGCTGATAATATGCTGACATATTTAGAAGCTCTAAGATATGCTTTTTAAAAGAACATATCTGTTTAATTGAGTAACATGGCTGGACACAAGATAAATATACACAAAGACACATAAATATGTGAATATACATACATGTGTGTACATTTTTCCCCATATGGTAGAATTTCTCTTCATTTGCTTCTAAATAACACTTGGAGTTTATACAAGCTCTCAGTGTCATCTGTGACACCTACAGACTATTGCTTATGGCAGAAAAAAATGCACTCACCTTGTGAGCTACTCTCTTACATAACCATGTGCTCCACTTTTACCAGATGAGTTGTTTGCTTACCAATTTCTAGTTGTGCTTGCTCCTAAATATTTTATGACAGTTTTACTGTTATTATAACTAAGCAACTTGAACAAATATTACTGAAGCCAATAAATAATAATGTGATAGGAATGAATCTTTGTTTCCATGGAAGCTAAGTTGTCTGCTTTAGAAAGATTCAATAAAGACAGGCTACAAAAAATGCTGTTGGTTTGGGCATAACAATTATAAAGCATGAGGATAAAATTATAAGATAGTTTATTTGCACTTTTCTACAAGTCTTATTAAGTTCTTGAACCATATTAGAGAAATCCAAACTGAAAACTGCATATGAAGCATTATTGATGTAGTTGTGCAAGAAAGATATCATGGTACTCCAAACCAGTAGACCCATACTTAAGTGAAGGACCTTGTCCTACAGAGCATTATGGATAAATGAATATATATATATACATACACGTTTTATGTTAAAATACTTTAAATGTCTTATTACTATAGTATAACCTAGCCTATCCTGATTAAAACGAGGCTATGTTACAGTAATGAAAAAGTAAAACCAAAAAAACCCTTAAGTCTCAGTGACTTAAAACCACAGACTCTATCTGGATGACATCCAGAGCCACTGTCTTCTATATGATGACATTCCAGCTACTTTACCCTTCTGGTACTTCTACATCAGCATATACATCTATTATCACTATGTCAGGGAAGAATCATGCTCCAACTCCTCAATGCTTCTGTGCAGGAATGAAACACACACATCACTTCTACTCACATTTTCATTGGCGAGGATTAGTCACATGGCTATATATATATATATATATATATTTTTTTTTTTTTTTGAGACAGTCTTGCTCTGTCCCCTAGGCTGGAGTGCGGTGGTGCGATCTTGGCTCACTGCAACCTCCACCTCCTGGGTTCAAGCAATTCTAATGCCTCAGCCTCCCTAGTAGCTGGGATTACAGGCACCTGCCACCATGCCCAGCTACTTTTTTTTTTTTTTGTATTTTTTAGTAGAGACAAGGTTTTGTCATGTTGGCCAGTCTGGTCTCAAAATCCTAACCTCAGGTGATACACCTGCCTCAGCCTCCCAAAATGCTGGGATTACAAATGTGAGCCACCACACCTGGCTGGCTATATCTAATTTTAAGAGACAAGAAAAAGCATTATCTTCTTGCATACTTAAAAGTAGAAAGGAACCACACATCATTGAATGAAGATAAATGTCTATTGCATAGGCATCATTTTCTAGGATTTCTCAATCTTGCAAATTTAACAACAAAATATTGTGATACACTGTATTAATGATCAAGATATTTGCTGCCCTTCCAAGTTGAAAGAGTACTGATCCTATCTCACTGGTATTTATTAGGTGTCAGGCTTGGCATTAGAAGGGCCCTTCCTTGTGGGGACTGTGTGCATCCCGGATGCTTCAATGTCAGATATGGGCACTTCTTGCTTTGCTTTATAAAGCCTGAGGGGAAGTGATGTGTGACATTTCCTGGCAGGAGCTTTAAGAACCAGTAGATGCTATACTTTGACTCCTTTCCTCTCTACTACAAGACTGGAATGTGCCTGATAGCAATGGCTTCATTAGCCTGGGCCCCACAGTGAGGGTGATGTGAAGCAAAGCTGCAGCCAGCTTGGGCTGGGCATGCGGTAGGAACAGGAAATGTTTTGTTGTTATAAGCCACTGAGATCTTCAGGTTGTTTGTTATTGCAGTGTAATTTAGACAAAGCTGACTAATATACATACCATCCTTACTGCATCTGTAAGAATAGTTACAACAATAACCATAAAGGAGTGAGAATGGAAAAACACAGTCACATGCTGCATGTTTCAGTTAACGACGGACTGCACATACGATGATGGCCCCATAGGTTATAATGCAACACTTTATTTTTACTCTTCCTTTTCCACGTTTAGATATATTTAGATAAGCAAACACCACTGTATTACAGTGGCCTACAGGGTTCCATACAGTAACATGCTATGCAGGTTTGTAGCCTAGGAGCAATAGGCTATACCATACAACCTAGGTGTTAGTTAGCAGGCTCTCTCACCTAGGTTTATGTAAGGACACAATGACATTTTTCACAATGACAAAATCACCTAATGCTGCATTTCTCGGAACGTATCCCCATCGGTAAGCAATGTATGACTGTATTCTTCCTGTAAGAGCAATAAAAGTACAGACTGCTTAAGGCTAAATTGGACAAGATAGGTTTAAGATATATGAAGAAAATTACAAAATGTTACTGAAAGATATAAAGCATGTAAATTCTCCAAAAATTAATGTAGAAATTTCATATAATTCTAATCATAATTGCAATGGTTTCTTTTTAATTTGATAAGGGCATTTTAAAGTTCATGTGGGACAGAATTTACCCACAGTGATGCTGCCAGGATTAAATAAGGTAAAGCATGTAACGCACCTAGGACAGTATTTGACGCCTGTAGTATATGCACTGAGACATGTTAGCTAGTGTTACTTAGAAAAATAAATAGATGTTTAGAATGGGGAGTACCAAAATGTATCTTAATATACATGGGGTTTTAATATAGCCATCCAGAGGAAAATAAAATTAGACCCCTATTTAATCCATATCCAAAGTTAAATTTGATATGGATTAAAAATGAAAATGTAAAAAATCAATAAATATTTTAGAATAAAATTTAAGAGAATGAATTTATACGCTACAGGTAGGGAAACATTCTCAACCAAAATAGTAAACCAGGGAGTTGCAAAGGAAAAGATAATGTTTTAAACATGTGTATGTCAAAGATACCACAAAGAAAAGAATAATGTTATTATATAGTAGACTTCAAGAAATATCTGGTATGTATAAAAAAAGATTAATATCTATAGTATAAAATGAGTGACCAAAAATTTACAGGAAAAAGAAAAAAAATTCCATAGAAAAATGAATAAGGAATGTGTGAATAGGCATTTTCAGAAAAGCAAATCTAAACAGTCAACATGAAAAAGTGCATGATCTTAATAGTCATCAGAGAGACGCAAACTAAAGTGCCCTGAGTTATCACTTCTTACCCAGCAGATCCACAAAAGTTAAATTTCTGTTGACAGAAGTGTGAATTTAAACCACTTGGAATACATTTACCATTTGGGGAAGACGTTTGAAAACAACCGTTTAATAAATATAGTGATCAAGGAGGAACTTACTTGGGATTGCAAAGCACCAAATATAACTGCACTGTTTTGAAAGTTCAGCTTTTCATGCAATGGATTCTGACTAAGGCTGCTCACTCTATCTCCTACAGTGTATGTTCCTCTTGGCTCCAAACTCAGAATTTTGCAACTATTTTTGGTCACTGGACAGCGTTTTTTTACTTCATGACCACTGTAACTCTTGACCACATGGAAGCTCCTAATGACACTGCCTGGCACACCCTACCCATGCAAGTTCTGGCACCCCTGGTTGAACTCTGGCTAACTAGATCTTTTTGGATTTGTGACTTGTATGACTGTCTACGCCTGATTCTGATTCTTTGCCTAGTTTCTCAGCTCCTGATTTCTCCACTTATTCATACTCCTTCCCCACTCCCTGTCCTTCTTGGGAATCTCTCAGCACATGGATAACTACCGTAGCAAATAAATTAGCCCAAGTGTTAGTTGTGTCCTGGAGCTAATTTCACCCAGTTCCCACCACTACACTTTTCAAACAGAGAAGCATAGTTTGATGAGCCCACTTACTGTGGAGATGGGGAAAATCACCTCAAAAACAGGTAAGAGTGGAGGCAGGCAGGCTGCTAGCTGAAATGCTATTAAGATGTTCTTAATGAAAGGTGATAGCTCCAGAAAGATGGTGAATGGAGTTTACAGTCTAACGAGGAGAAGCACATGTGAAAACAAGAGGTACAACAGTGTGTTGGTGAGATACAATTACTCATATGCATGCATAAGCAATGAGGCACAGTCTATTTTCCCCAGGTAGGGAAAGCAGGGCAGTGGAGAAGGTCAGGAAAGGTTTTGCAGAGGAAGTGATGCTTGACCTCACACGGTTTGATAGAGCATTCCAAAAAGAGGGGGGAGCAGGAAGAAATGTATAGGGGCATGAAATCAACATTAACAGGGAATTCCAAGTACTTTAATATGTCTGGAGTAAAGAATTTCAGAGTGGGGTTGGCAGATCACAGAAAGCCTGTTTTTCATTCTGAAGAGTCATAAATTAATTCTGTGGGGCAGGCAAAGAGGAACTATTGAAGGGCTTTAAGGAGGAAAGCAATTGATTTGAATTTTAGAAGACAAACAACTTTGGCAGCATGTGGAGGATGGTTTGGAATAGGCAAGGACCTCGGCTTGTGGCTTAGGTGTCAGGTAATTAATTCTGTTATCCACGATACTCCTTTTCAACCAGGCAAGTTCATCAAGGAATTTTAGAAACCATACCTTTCTTTCTCACTCATGTAAAAACACCAAACTAGAATGATAAACAAGGTCTTTTTTTTTTCTAAACTCTATTGTATGAACTTAGTTGGACACTCTCTTTTAATAAATGGAGTGAGGCCGAATAGCTTTTGGCATTCATCCCAGATACTGAAACAGTGAGAAAACAACAAAACATGGAACATGATATCTATCCATAACTCCAATTGTATGGTTGGGGTTATTGGAGAATTGTAAGAGTTATGATTTCCCTGGCAAAGTATCAAAAAAACATACCTTCACAAATTATTCCAAACAGAGATCTGGCATCTGATCATGCTGACATAATGAAAAATGTTGAACAAATTGCCTACGTGTAATTTCTCATTCCTGAAGAACTAAAGGAAGGATGTTTTCTAAGGCTCCACAATGACGGTTTTTATGAAATAATAACACGGTCATAAGAAAGCCAAAAGAAATTTTCCCAGTTCACTTAGAAAATGCAATCAATCTATTTTTTTCTAAAGATAAATGATATATTCTGTCACACAGAAGAATGTCCAAGAGGATATCCACCAACACATTCACACTGGTTATCTCTGGGTGACGCGTTCAAGTGTTCCCTATTTTATTCTTGTTGCCTTTGGTGTTGTCCTTCTATGGTGAACATGCATTGCTTCTGGAAGGAAAAACAAGAAAGTCAAATATACCAACCATACAATCAGAATGTGGCAGGCCATCTTTTTCAGCTCTCTGATTCGGCATCAACTTTCTAAGTCTGACTAAGATTAACATGAACTGCTTTTGAGGTAACCTTCTAGTGTGTTTTGAGTATGTATAAGCTAAATTCCTCTCCTCAACTATTTATCTTCGGGGAATAAATCATTGAATTTTCAAAATATGAATATTTCCACTCTTCATTATTTATGCCAATGGAGGGGAATACTGACACTAGTATCCAAAACATCAGAGAATTGAAACAATCATGTATACATGTATATTACATTAGGCTTTGTGAGACTCTGCACATGATACTTTTGGCAGATATGCTTTCTGAATTACATTTTTATTTGGCTAATATTAAAATTACTCCATGCTCCCACATGTGGGCTGGCAAATGGTGGGAGGAGGCTATGGTAAGAGAAATAGGTGTAGAATTTAAAATTCGTTGTATATAATCTATGAGCTGTACGCTGGGCAGGCAAATATATAAAGACTATGGTGAAAATACAAACCAATTTTAAGCACAGACAGACCTAAAACAGGGCTACAAAAGCCTGAAAAACGGAATGTAACTTGTGCCATGTCTGATGCAATGCAGATGTAAAGTAGTAAAATAAAACTCCTGGATTCTAAATAGTCTACTCTAGTACTTATTCTCTCAAAACCCAGCTTTTTATAATCGGAAGACACTCTTTTAAGAGCAGCTGCATCTGAAATCATAGCCAGCAAAATACTTCAGAAGAAATATGAAACACTCCTCTCTTAGGGTTAAGGAAGAGGGCCTGTCAGATGGACCTGATATCTCTCCATCTAACACATAGCAAGGGGCTTGCAAACAAGATTTGTAAATATGACTTACTGTAAACTATGCACATTGAACCTTTCCCAACACTGTAAGAATTTAGATCATTTAAAGAAGATTTGGATATATTATTCATAACTTAAAGATTCTTTTCAGGCCCTCAAAAACCTAGTAACTTTCTTATTGGTTAAGATTTGTATAATACTACTCACTGCACATGAACTACTCCCCCACCCCAGCCTTGTAGGGAAGCATATTTTTTTTTTTGAGACTGCTCTGTTGAAGCAGTCTGTTGCTCTGCTGCCCAGGCTGGAGTATACTGGCATGATCTTGGCTCACTGCAACCTCTGCCACCCAGGTTCAAGTGATTCTCCTGCCCCAGCCTCCGTAGAAGCTGAGATTACAGGCATGCACCACCATGCCTGGCTAATTTTATATTTTTAGTAGAGATTGGGTTTCACCATGTTGGCCAAGCTGGTCTCAAACTCTTGACCTCAGGTGATCTGCCTGTCTCGGCCTCCCGAAGTGCTGGGATTACAGGCGTGAGCCACTGTGCCCAGCCTGGGAAGCATAATTTCTGAACTTACACAACCACACAACATTCTGATCATCAGCTATCTTGGAGAGAGTAAGTTTTCCACACTTTTTACACCAATTATTTTCCCCTCCCATCTGTTTCTGACAATGGAGTTCTCAGGCTTCTCCTATCCTAAACTCCATCATCACCACCAGTCCCTGGTCCCGGTTCTTCTTCAAATCCTGATTCTGCTTTCAAAGGTCAAAAGAACCCATTCAGATGAGAAGAATCGTCCTCAGACTGGGAGGATAAAAGACCCAAGCAAGCCTGGACAGAACTGGGAGCTAGCAAGAGGAGGTAAAGGCTGGGCACATTCATGCATTAATACTTTTCACGTGATCACACACACATCTGTGGTTCTTGGTATTAGTGGATGCTGGAATTGTGGACTTTGTGGTAGAATGCCGATTGTTCAATCTAGCCTTGGAGGAAAGGAGATAGGTGTAGTTGGAACTAGGCAAGGAGTCAGGGCCTGGGCTTACATTGCTGACCGGCTCCAGGCCTCAGATGCTTCTGGAAACAATTCCAAATACATTCTCTTGGGTCATCAATTTCCTAACCAAGTTAGTCATTCTTGCCTATGAAGCCCAACTGTTCATCTTTTCATTCCCATACTCTTTGTTCAATAAACATTTATTGTTTTCTATTATTTCCATACAGTAATGTTAAGACATAGCCCCTGACTTCAGGAGTTTATGGGAGCGAAGAAACAGACGTGCAAATAGTGCAACCAAGGGTTAAAGGTTATGTTGAAGTAGGTATAAGCTTCTTAAGTTTCATCTGACATCTCCACTCCATGAACTCCCCTGCTCCTGTTATCACCCAGCCCCTGAACACACTACACTCACTTCTGTCTTCCTCTTCACTAACCCCTCCCACTATGCCCCTTGGAACTTGTATTTTTTTCCTTTGCCACAGCTATCTGTTCACTTCTTAGCCCACAGTGAAACCTAGCTTTCCTATAAATAACACCTTCCTTAAAAGTTTGTCCAGCGATGCCTACTTTTCCTGTCACTCTCCCTGGCTCTCTGGGCAAGGACAGTATCAACAAAGCCTCCTGTTGCCCACTACTTTGCTCAACCGTCTACATCACCATTCACTACATCTTCTCTGAAGTGGATGCCAACTGCTTTCCACTACCCTTTCTCAACTTTTGCAGGCATGAGGATTCAACCCAACCCATAGGAACTTTTCAACTCAGCATGCTTTAACATTTCTTCCAACCAACCTCAGCTCTTGCCTGGCAGTATTCATTCACCTGCTTCTCACCTGTTTCACAGAAGGGAGTTTCTGTGTTCAAAAACACGCATTCAACAAATATTTGTGCCAGGGAGTGGGCATTCAACGGTAGACAAATCATAGTCCCCACCCTCAAGGAGCCTGAAGTCCAGAGAAGTAAGCAAGTAAAAGGGCTGTCAATAGAAAGAGATGTTAGAAGACTAGAAAGCAGGTGCTGTGGTTAAGGGGCATCATTGTTCTCTTTTCTTCTCCCTTCCTCTGTTTTTCTGACCCCTTGTACCATACAGTAACCTGGAATCCCTGCCCTGCTACTCTTCATGATGTCTGCTTTGTGATCCCTCTTTGCCTGGCCTAGTGCCACTCAGAATTACTGCATAAAACTGAAACTGTGTTGATCTAGCCTGTTACAAATTGAAGTTACTCATCTTCCCTTATATCCTCATGTTTCTAAGCAGTTCTTTTCATTCTTCTCGCTCATCTGCTAATATATTCTCCGTGGTGATTTGTCAACTTTCTGCTCTTAGAAAGATACTACCAGTCCCTCTCTCCCCATCACTATTAAGAGTGGTGATCAGAATTCAGTTCCTTTCCACAACACTCCTCCTCCACAGTTCAGGACTTTTACTTCACCATGTTTTCCACCTTGTCTCATTTCTTTTATATATTTTCTTTTTCTTTTCTTTTCTTTTTTTTTGAGATGGAGTCTTGCTCTGTTGCCCAAGCTGAAATTCAGTGATTTTGGCTGACTGCAACCTCCACCTCCCAGGTTCAAGCGATTCTCCTGTCTCACTCGCCCCAAGTAGCTAGGATTACAGGCATATGCCACCATGCCCGGCTACTTTTTTGTATGTTTTAGTAGAGATGGGGTTTCACCATGTTGGCCAGCCTGGTCTTGAACTCCTGACCTCAGGTGATCTGCCTGCCTCAGCCTCTCAAAGTGCTGGCATTACAGGTGTGAGCCTCTGCACCCGACCTGTCTCCAGTTTTTAACAGCTGCATCTCTGCCCTTGATTCCCCCTCACATCTGGGCATCTGAGAAGTCATTATTTCAATCATTCCTGCTTGCTGTTTCTCTTCCCTGCTGTCTTCATTCACTTTTGCCCCTTCACCAATCCTTTCTAACATCTGCCTAACCAACTTTGTTCAGTCATGCATGTGAAACAAAAACAAAACCCAACTTTCATTCAAACCAAAATCCTATTTCTATTTTTTGAAATGGACAACTTTGTGAAAGGAATGACCTATAAAATTTAGCTGCCTTCATTTTCCTACTATAAATTCCTCATTCCTAACAATCTGTTTTAGATTGTTAAATTGCTCACCAGAAGATTTTTTGCCAAACCCCACTGATTTTCCCATAATCACATCTGACATCACTGGTCATTCCCTATCTCCACATTGTATCTTCCATAGCTCCGAGACATTTTCAGACCTCTCTTCTCTATGCCTCTTCATGCCTCTTCTAGCTTCTCCAAATTTCTAGAGACACTCACTACACGTTAGATCTTAAAGCCCTTCTGAGTACCTGCCTAAAGTATGGAAGGCACTATGCTGTGGAGACAAGGCAGCTTTTAAGAGGGGTCTAACCAAGCAGGCCAGGTAATAGGGTTTGGGTGCCCAGGGCCAAGCTTAGGCAAATAACAGAAAATAGCAAAGGGTATGTATAATTTCAGATCGTCAGAGGGCACTAAAATTTAAGTCAGAAGACCCAAATTCAAGATGACAAGATGAAGTACAGGAATAGCGCCCAAACAGAAGACAGCCGAGGTAACAAATGCGGAAAGACCTAGAGAGGGAGGAGGGTTTTTGCCAGATGTGAATGAAGCTGAACTTGTCCTCAGTTGACCTATCTAGGTCACCAGACTGACTTAAGAGTAAAATCAAAGAAGACTACAAAAAGTAAAACAAAATAGGGTGCTTGTTCTCATATATGCCTAGTGTTTTCTGTGAAATGTGCATAATGATAGTATCTGCCTCACAGGATTAATTGAAACAATATATGCAAAGAACTAAACCCTGGGCCTGACACGTAACAAATGTTAGCTATCATTATTAATATTCTATCCTCTAAGCTATTTAACATAAGGTTTAAGCAAATAGAATTAAATCATTCCAGTATCAAATCTAATTTACTTATGTATTTAGCATACTCAAAAGTACCCCGTATTAGTTAATACTGTAACAACCCATTTAAAATAGGATGTAAACTTGGGTGTAAGACTCAAAATAAGGCAATTTTCTCCTTGCTGGTCCACTAAAACAACTTACTTCACATTGATCATCAAAAGCCCATTTTCAGGGCTTTATAATCCCTTTTTCGCTACTTTTGAACTACTTTCTAACCTCTCAATACATTCTTGCCCTTTTGATTCTAAGATGGCACAGCCTTTAAAGCAGGCTCCCAGTCTACCGACTGTCTTTTGAATTCTAGTTATTTCTTAGGTTCATCCCTGCTTTTTCCTTCCTTTCAAAGCCTTTCCATTATGTGACATTACTTTAGCATACAATTAGTGGCTTAAATGGTATTCTGGTTCCTACTTTCTCCTAATCTCAGTCTATCCTTCATGCTGCTACCAGAATTTTTTTTTTTTTTAATGCCAAATGTTTGTGAAACGACCTCCATTATCTCCTATTGTCTAGAAGAAAAAGCCCCAAACCTCAGCATACCATACACGGCCCTTCATTTTGGCCCCAACCTGTCCCTCCAACCTCATCTTATTTTGCTCCACCTGCTCACCCAGAGCTCCACCACAGGGAAATCTCCATTACTCAAGATAACAACATGACTTTTTCACAAATCTCTTGTCTTTCCACGTTCCTCTTCCGTGAATGTTGTTTTCTCTTGATCCCAGCTATTTTCTGGTTCAGCTCCTTTCTCTATCAAGCATTTATCACACGGCATTTTATTATTTTATTTTATTAGTATTATTTGAGACAGAGTCTTGCTGTGTCACCCAGGCTGAAGCGCAGTGGCACCAACTCTGCTCACTACAACCTCTACCTCTCAGGTTCAAGCGATTCTCCTGCCTCAGTCTCCTGAGTAGGCGGGACTATAGGCATGCACCACAACGTCTGGCTAAATTTTTTTTTTGGTTATCTTTAGTAGAGATGGGGTTTTGCCATGTTGGCCAGGCTGGTCGTGAACTCCTGACCTCAGATGATCTGCCTGCCTTGGACTCCCAAAGTGCAGGGATTACAGGCATGAGCCACTGTACCCGGCCCACACAGCATTTTAAGTATCTGTTTACATGTCTATTCCCCCAGGAAAATATAAGCATCTCAGGTACAGGTAAATGCCCTTTTCTCATTTCCTAGCTTCAGAATCTAGTACCAAGCAAATGCTCAATACATATTCATTGAACTGTGGGCAATCAGCAAATGTTAAAATTATTTTAAAAAAAAAGATTCGCAGTTTTACAATTTCTCATTAGTTGTAATTGACTAAAAGAAAAAAGATGCAAATGAAACACTCCAACTCAAATCTCAGGATTAAACATGGCTATTTTGAAGGACCAGAAGACAACTAAAGGACGGCAGGGCAGAAAACTTACCATCCGGAACGTCGAAGTTGTATGACCATGGCAGTGGATATACAGCCTTATCGTTTCCCTCTCTCAAATCCTTCGATGGCTTTTTATAGACAAAGCCTCATCCTTAATCTTGCCTACAAAGGCTGCATAAAAAACTTGTAGCTAGCTTCCATGATACATGCCTGTAGTTGCAGCTACTCTGGAGGCTGCAGCAGAATTGCTTGGGCAACATAGCTAAGCCCCATCATTATTCAAAACAAACAAAAACAACAAAAACCACTTGCTTCCATCTACTTACAACCTCATCTCACAGTACTCTGCACTTTCTGGACTTAGGCTGACTTAGGTCTTCTTTCCAATTCCGTTTTTGCACAAGCAGATCTGCCCGTAATGTTGTTTTAAATACCCTACTACCCCAAACTAGTTTGCTCTTATCCTTTGGCTATCAGTCCAAAGATTCCTTAAGATGTCTCCATCCTGTGGTAGCAGACCATAAAGCCGTTTTACTACATTTTATTTAGACAACAATACAGTATAGCGTTATGACCATAGATTCTAGACTCAGGCTGGGTCCTTAGGCATATTTAACCCCTTCATGTCTTGGTTTCTTCACCTGTAAATTGTACTCGTAAGGTTATTGAAAAGATTAAAGGAGATAAAGCATGTAAGCACTTAGAACTGCGTTGATATGCAGTTCAAAGAGCCCAACATACGTCGGTCATGATCATATTTACTCAATCTGTAGTCACTATCCTTCCTTCCCTCCCCTCCAGCCCCCGGAGTACCTCTGCTCCTCTATCCCAGAGGCCACGCCAGCCTGGTCCTTTTTTGTATTCCTAGCCTAACCACAAAGTTGTGAACATAGCAGGCCTTCAATATTATATTTTTTAAAAAATGACAAAAGCCTTGTGTCCCACTTTTGCTTTATTAGCCGAACGATCTCAAGCAAATCACTCAAATCACCTAGGCCTCGTTTATCCTTCTGTGAGATGTAATAGCTACCTCAGAGAGGTCTGTGTTAAATAAGGCGATGTACCTACAAAAGCACATTGCACATCTTAAAATGCCGTACAACCGGTAGATGTTTATTAATAAACCGGAGTCCGTGTCTTCCCTCCCCTCAGGCACGTCTCGTCCCGACCCCGCTCTCCCCGCAGCCCACACCCTTACTGCGCCCTTGGCCCGCGGTCCCTCGGGATTGCAAGCGTGGGAGCCTTGGCCCCGGGCAGCTCCCTCCGGCTTCCCGCGCCCTCCTTCCTTCCTCGCCCGGACGGACGCACTTCCGGCGGATGTGGGGGGGCAGCCCCTGGAAACGGAAGTGAGCGGCGGGGTCGACTGACGGTAACCGGGCACAGAGGCTTTTAGCAGAGCTGCCGAAGATGGTGAGTGAGTACCCGGGCGGCCAGCGTTCCACGCGGGCTCGGGATCGTGGCTCGGCAGAAACAGGCAGTCGCCTCCCAGCCCGTCCCCGGGTGGCGGCGGCGGCGGCGGCGGCGGCGGCGGTGACCTGGGGATGAGGCCGGCCTCGGGAGCCATAATCTGTCGAGTCACGGGGTTTGGGTGGGTCATGGCTGTCGCCGGGTCCCGGCTCCGGCACTGGTCCCACGAGCAGCGGTTCGGCTTCATCCTGCTCCTCTTAGCTCGGTTTGCTCCCTTCCACCCTTTACACCCCAGCAGGCCCAGACGTCCTCCCCTTACTTGGTGCAGACGTGGAAACTACAACCCCGAAAGTGCAGCGTTCTGTGGGGTGGCGCCGCCGACCCTTTCCTTGAGGCGTAGCCTCTGGGAGTCCAGAGTGCCCAGACTCCTCATCTCCTCCAGTCCCCGCCCTTGTAACTGTCTGGTAACCAAGCCACAACTATAGGTCGCATTTGTGTAACGCAACTTTGCTCTACAAACGTTTTTGAGAGCTTGTAGTGTGCTAGGTGTTACAGGGGGATAAAGTCAGACCGTTGCTGTTCCCCGTTTGTCAGTATTGTTAGTACATCTCCTCTCTCCCTCTATCCTCACCCCCCCTCTTCCTCCCGCCCTCTCCTCTCTACCACTTTCTCTTTCTTTTTAACTTAAAAGTTGTGATATTTGAGAAGAATCCTGAGCCACCATTGCTACAGACTCTGATACAGGTACTGTTGGTAGGCCATCCATCCAAATCTAGAAAGCTTCTGTTGGTAAATACTGCTAATCATTGCTAAAAAAAAGTTTTATGGACACTCGCAAATGTTTTTGTAGATTTGCCTTTCTCGACTACTTCCTTTATTAGAAACATTAAGTTCTAATCCTGATATTTTGCAGAAGGAAATTGGAAAAAATGAGGATAACAGAATCTAGAAGTCAGAATTCACTTTTTCCTTGTGCACTGAAACCTTCCGTCACTTTACAATAAAGCCGTCCTGAAGGACGAGAATGTTGATATAGGGAAGTAATAGAAGATACATTTGGAAAGAACTATCACACAGCTCTACCAAAGGTCCCCAACCTTTAGTGATTCAACAGTTTTCTGACTTTATGTTGGTGTGAAATCCATACATAGTCAGTAGATGCCGCACTTGAGTACCCACACAGCCATCCTGTTTCCTTCAGTACAGTATTCAATAAACTACAATAAATCCAATACTTTTTAATAAAGTAGGCTTTGTATTAGATGATTTTGCCCCACTGTAGGCTAGTGTAAGTGTTCTGAGCACGTTTAAGGTAGGCTAGACTAAGACCTGTTATTTAGTAGGTTAGGTGTGTTAAATGTATTTTTGACTTTTGACATTTTCAATTAAAGATGGGTTTATTGGGAAGCAACCCCATCATAAGTCAAGGAGCATTTGTAGTCCTGGTAGGAGTTCAGCTCCTTGGTGCAGATGAGTAAACAAGGCCAGAGAGGCTGGTGCTTTGCTGGCAGTCACAAAGTAGGTTAGTGACAGTCCACGCTGAAGTCCAGATTCTTTTCCTCATCCACCATGACAACTTATATGTAGGGGAGTTGGAACCTGTTATGCAGGTTCTTTAGGTCCGGGCTAAGGACTCTGAACTTTATGCTTCAGACATTGATGAACCAACAAAGATTTTATAGCAGTTTTGTTGGAGGAGTTTCGTGCTTGAGGAAAACCTCGATATGCAGAACTGGAAAATGGGTGAGTCTAAGGCAGCAAGATCCAGTAGAATGCTGTGGAAGTTATCCATGCCTGAGAGGCTGGGCTAGGATGGTATAGTGAAGAAACCCTGGAAAGGATAAAATATCTGACCAAATCAAATATACAAACGAATTAAGAAATCAGTGAAAAAGCTGACTTCTCAGAATATTTTCTCCTGCAATATAAAATTTGATAGGAAACTACCTGTAGCTGTTTTACGTTTTTCTGCAGAATCACAGGGGTATTGGACTTGAGCAACGAGTGATTTAAAGTTAGCATCTTGGGCCATGCGGTGGCTTACACGTGTAATTCCAGCACTTTGGGGGCGCTGAGGCAGGAGGATCACTTGAGCACAAGAGTTTGAGACCAGCCTGGCCAGTGTAATTGAGACTTTATCTCCACAAAAAATTTTTAAAAATTAGCCAGGTGTGGTGTTGCACACCTGTGGTCCCAGCCACTCGAGAGACTGAGGTGGGAGGATTGCCTGAGCCCAGGAGGTTTAGGCTACAGTTAGCTGTGATTGCTCCACTGCATTCTAGCCGGGATGACAGAACAAGACCCTACCTGAAAAAGTAAATAAATAAATAAATAAATAAAGTTAGCATCTCGTTCTTTACTTGTTGAAACACAATGTTTTATTTGCTTGTTTAATATATTTTCATAAGATGAAGCCCTGGGAGATATACATGTATATTCAGTATCTAGCAGAGTACCTGACACGTAATAGATGGCTAATAAATATCTGGTGATTGCGCATTTCACAGTATAAACGTGTAGGGTAATAATACACCAATACCAAAGGCACTGTCTTTTTTGTCGTATACTATCCTGATTAAGTATACATAGTTTTTATAGGTAGTGCCATCTTCATTTAGAAACCAAACACTTTCTGAAATTCCCTTTTTATCCCAGCTCCTGTGACTATTATTTAGCCATCCTGTCTATTCTTATCCCATTTCTTTGTTGTTCTTCCTTGTACTCAAGGAATGGATTCCTGAGGATGCTGTCCTCAACTTTTTTATTCTGTGTTAAACATTCTAACCTAAGGGAAAGCTTTCTCCAGTAAAAACAAATTCAATCATGCCATAACCTTTCAGAGGCTGTCGGTTTTGGAATAAAACCCAAATTTCTTGGCAAGTAAGACGTTTCACTTTTGTATTTCTCCAGGCTTTACTTCTGCCTCACTGAAAACATGTATTTAGCCAGTCGTCTCAAACTACCTGCAGCTTGTTCATTTATCTTTTCATGCCTTTTTCATGTGATTTTTTTCCTGGAATGCCTTTCAAGCTGACAGCATTCAGATATCAGCTCAAGAATCCTTCCCACTCTCAAATTTGGTATTTTCATTGTACCATATATGTCTCTATCATATCATAATGTTTAAGGCTTGCTGTAATTGTCTTGTCTGTGGACTCTTTGAGGGGATATTATTTTCCCGTCTCCTACTTAAACAATATTTTGACATAGCTGTTTGGCGTGTGTGTTTAAATTTTTTTTCTATTTAATAATGTTTTTTATTTGTGTTGTAGAATGCCAGAGGACTTGGATCTGAGCTAAAGGACAGTATTCCAGTTACAGAACTTTCAGCAAGTGGACCTTTTGAAAGTCATGATCTTCTTCGGAAGGGGTATATGGGGGAATTATGACTTTGATTTTGTTATAATGTTTCTGTGAATTATTTTTCACAGTATTCTTTACCTAACCTTCTTTACATATTTTGATAGGCTATAAATGTATATTTAGTTTGGCAGATGGCAAGTAATATATGTTGCATGGGGTGCAGAGGGGAAGGGGCTTAAATGTTTTCTGTAGTGGAAGAGGTGTCTCATCAGAGGAGTGCAATCCCAACGTAGGGCATCCTCCTAGGCAGTGGTGTCCTTTAGCATGATTTGGTAGGATTCTTCTTATTTATTTATTTGCTACTGATAACTTAGCCATTTTCCTCCTTGTCTTAACTATTAAAGTAATTTGCTTTTCTTTGGGAGGCACTAGAACTTAGCAGTTGAGAGATTAAACTCTGGACTCAGTCAGCCTGGGTTTAGACCCTGGCTCTGTTATTTACTAGATGTGTGCCTTTGGACAAATCATATAATTAACGTCCCAGTGTCTTTATCTATAAAATAGGGCCAATAATAGTCTATATCTTACTTTGAGGTATAAACGAGTTAATACCTGAAAAATGTTTTAAATAGTACCTGACATTAGAAGCACTCAAAAAGTATGGGCTGTAGTTTTTTTTTTCTGTTCTAACTTTAACGTGCAGTTATGCCATGTTGACGATTTCTTTTATGTTTCTATGTGTTTAGGTCTCAGTTTCTGGTCCTAGACCATTCTCTTTGCAGATTACTTTTCTGCTTAGTAAAATAAAGATAATACCTTTCCCCTATAAACAAATTATTGTTTTGAATTTTTGAATTTTACATCTAATTTTAAAGTATTCTTATGATAATAGAATGGAATTTTAATGCTGAGTATAAATATAATCTCTCATTATAGACTTTCAATTTTGTAGTAAAAAAATGCAGCATTTGGCCTGTGGAATTGGAGCTATAATTTGATTTGTATAACCAAATTAATTGGCTAGGCAGTAACTAAGGTCTGAAGATGTTTTTTTCCCCTCACATGAAATGTTCCTCCTTCTTCCTGATTGGACTGGGGCAGGACAATTTTCAAAACCCACTTCTTGAATAATGTTTTGTAAAAAGACAATATTTAATAAACAATTATTGCAGGGTTTCTAAGGGTTTTTTTTAGCTTTAAAACCCTAGTTTGGATAATAAAATCATCATCTTTATACAGCTGGAGTGATAAAGACCAGTAGCCTGGTTCTAGTTGTGCCTTACCTAACGTACTTTATACATAATAAGTGTTCAATAAATGCTAAACTTATTGTTCAACGTGTTTATTAAAAAGATATATTAAATAATGAATGTGTTAGACCTGAAGGGAATAGGCTTAGATATTTTATGTAGTGCAAGAAGTACCTCATCAGAGTAATAGCAATAAACATACATTCATTCAATTTCTTCTAGAAAAGATTTTGGCAAGTTTTCCCTAGTGATTGAAGTCTTGACCACCAGCATCTGTAATAGATACATTCTTAAATTATCATGTAGTACTCTTTTTTGTTTTCCTTTTGGTGTATGAGTCCATGAATTTTTAACACATATATCAATTCCTATAACCGTCATCACAATCAAGGTACAGTAACTGTCACCCCAAAAAACACTCTCATGCCCATTATGGATATGATTTGAGCTGTAGGTATTGAGTGATATTTAATCTCATTTAAATGTTTTTTTTTTTTTTAATTTCCTTTCAGTTTTTCTTGTGTGAAAAATGAACTTTTACCTAGTCATCCTCTCGAATTATCAGAAAAAAATGTAAGTATGCTATTGTGTCCTTTTTTTTTTTGTCTTCTCATAGATAAATTTTAGTAATATTGGTTTCATTTTATTAAAACAATTTTGGTACTGAGGATTTGACCATGAGGAATACGATGCCTTATTTTCAATCTTCTTGTAGGGTAGACTTACAAATTATACTGCTCCTCTAAAGCTCCCTTTCCATGCATCCTGCCCTGCCTTTTAAATGCACATCTCCAAAGGGTGATCTACTTCTCCATCTTCTCACAAGAATGTTCTTTTCTGATAGTGCTGCTGCTTTTTTAT